AAGATTTTCTCGGCGTGGTGCTAAAAAAGTCGAGAATTTGACTCGAAATTCACGTCGTTTGGCAGCGTTTCGTTATAATTGGTTTACTGGGTTTTGATCACTGGTCGAAGATGAACACGATGGTGGTTTCAATTTAACGATCGGATGTCGAACGGCGTCGGGATCGAACTTAAAAGAAGGTTGCTAAAAAGAGAATTTGAATTGGTTTTCTGTTTTCACGCAGAAACCCAATTCATTTTCTTTAAAAGAAAAGTCTGTCGCATTCAAAGGTATATTCAAGGCTTGATCATTAAATTTTCTTCAACTTCTAAAATGAACTTCAATTTTCAAAACTTCAAATTTAATCCTCAAACTTTAACAAATTACTTAATTAATAAAAAAATTTCTTCAAATTTTCCGGGTTATTACACATGTGACGGGACCAAGTCAGTTGAAGTGTTAGTGTCTCTTCCTTTGATGTGGTGTATAGTGCATGTATCATTTAAGGACATATGTAGACTTACAACAATTCTTAAGGTTTATACTCCAAAACCTTGATTATACTCTCTCAAAAATAGAATTACAAATTTAACAAATTAAAGAAAACCTTACAAGATAAAAATATGTTTGCATAAATAAACTCTCACCTAAATAACACTCGGGCAATGAACAATTTAACTCACAAATGCTTTACAAATGAATATACAACAATTAAACTCTCATAAACTTTTTGATGATATTTGTTTTCAGTGATATTTTCCTCTCTCATAAGAACACATCTAAGATCATTTAATGACATGTCTCTAAACAATACATAATCATTTTTCAACTCGGCCTGAGTTAACACAAGTACTTCAGTCAAGATCGCTTTGTACCAATAAAAACTTTGTTGCCTTTTATCATTCCACCCAATATAACTCCTTTTTGCAACAATTTATCATTGGAGTCGCAATCAACGAAAACTCTTGACGAAGTGTTATAATATCTGACAAGTCTAAAAAATTTACAATTAGAACTCATATTTACTGAACTTGGTGAACAATTTTATCATAAGATTTTCAATCCATTAAATATCACCTTAGATTGTCGACTTAAATTTGACATTAATTTAATTTTAAAATATTAAAATTATTTTTTTAACTTTCAAATATTTTATAATCAAATTTAAATGATAAATTTTATTTACTAAAATAATGATTTTGAGTTAGATAAAATAAATAAAAACTAATTTTATCCAAATAAAAAATAATAATCCAAAAATAACATTTCATGGTAAATAATAATATGTTGAACAAATTACTCGATAATGAGAATTTTTTATTTAACAAGTTTTTTTTTAATGAAAGGCTAATGCCTTGCATGCTAAGCTATAGTTGTATTATAATGAGAAATTTATTACATCACGACTAAGAAAATTTTGTAAGGATGGTGGTGGTGAAGAAAGAATCGCAGTCTTATACTGTAATGTCGAGTTTAGTTTAGTAATACCATCAACACTTATCCAATAGTTTGATTTGATCACTCATATATTTATTTTAAATCATAACTAAAATATATAATTCTGTTTTAATAATCCGTTATTAAAAAAATAGGATAAAATACATAAATAGTCTTCGATTATTTGGTATTATTTTATTGAGTCACTCGATTATTAAAACTTACAAAATAGTCATTCAACTATATAATGTTGTTTTGTTGAGTCTCTCGACTATTAAAAGTTACAAAATGGTCACATGATTATTTATATGTTACAAACTTATCATTTTCGTTAAAAAATTGATGGTTGTCTAAGCTGGACGTTAACATACTGTCTGAGGTAAGATAATTGTTTGAGATTCTGGGATCATTATTTATCATATCTCAGTCAGTATGTTAACATCCAACTCAAATTGTCGTCAATTTTTTACGGAAAAGACGAGTTTGAAACAATGAATAGTCAGGTGAACATTTTATCTTTTAATATATGAAGGACTAACTATTTTATAACTTTTAATATGTGAGAGACACAACAAAGCAATACCTTATAATTGATGGACCATTTGTATACTTTATCCTAAAAATAAACAAAATTATTAATATGATATTTTTTAGTGATAACCTGATATTACCTTATACAAATCATCAATATTAGTTTTTTTTATAAAGAATGATCAAAATAGAATCAAAATATAATATTAATTATGATTTAAAAAAATAATTCACTTATTAGAACGGAATTGTAAAAATATGTGGGTGAATAAATACGTAGTTTATACTAACATTAAAAAAAAAAAAAAACTAGCCCGGCCCACCAAAAGGAAAAAAAGCCCGGCAAATGCAAGTGGAGGAAATTTGGTGGAGTCACGTCGCGTAAAGATTTATGATAATGCTTAAAACGTGTCAACCATTGATTTGGTCGCGTGTCACGAATCTTGACGAAGACTTATCGAATATTATTATTATTTTTAATTAAATATTTTTTTTTTCTTCTATATAATAATGCAAGTGCAATGCAATTAGGCAATCGCTCGAACCCTAGGATAGTTAGGTTCCTTGTCATCTGGTTTAAGCTTCAGGTTTCTCTTTTTCCTCTCTTCTGTTGATCAGGTAATTTTTTTTCTTTAATTTCATAGATCTTTTCCCCTATTTTTCTATTTTTTTTATGTTTTTGTTCGGTAAAATTTTCTTGTTTGATTTTGATTTCAAGAGCTTCTTCGTGGAAACCGTTTCTTTTTAATTTCGTTTTTCAAATATTAGATTGTATTTATGGTATGTTAATATTATGATCAGATTTGTCTTTTGATGATTTTCGTATCTGTTTTCCGTTTTATTGATCGACTGCAGTGCAGGAAACGATATGTTTGTTTTAAGATTTTGATTGGATTTAGAAAATTTTAGTCTTATTCTAGTTGTTTTAAATTTTATTTATTTGTTTGTTTTTTATGTATCAATTCGATACTTTTTTTTTTTTAAATTGGGTTAAAAATGGTTAATGCCTGATCTTACTTATTTAGTTCTAGAGTATTCTATCAATCTGAAACCAATTTTTTCTTGCAGTTGCAGGTTAATTCTCACTGATTTTCTTGTAGGGTTTTTAGTTAGACAATCAGAAAAGAACTGGTTTCAATGTGGGGATTTCACACTTTGAATAGCGAGGGATTTCGTTAATTGTTTTATTGGAATTTGGAAGTTAGTTTTCATCTAAAAGCTGTAAAGAGGAAAGAGGTATCGATTTGTGAAGCCAAATATTGGTGATCATGCCGGTATCTGGAAATGAGAGGTGATTTTTAATTCTCCCTTTTCAGTTACTAGATCCTAAGCTCGGTGGAAGTGTTGCTAGACTTTTGTTTTTTGTTGAATTTTGATTTATTTATGTTTTGTTGGTAGGTTGGGGTTAACCCAGTGTTGGGCAATTTAGTGAATACACTGCAGGTATTCCTATAAAGAAAAGAAGGTTCCCTTTATTTGTCATCTTCTCAACAAGCTGAAAATTTGCCTTCGCTACCCACTGGAAACGAATTGGAGCAGAAAGGATTTCTAGTCCACTTCAAGGTTCAACTGTTTCGACTGATACTATTGTTGCAGTGAGCTCAGACCCCACTGATGTTTTATTGAGTTCACATACCAGTGGTGTATTATCCAGTTCAAACACCAGTGACATCGCAGGGAGTTCGAAAACCAATGTTATTAAGGCTGATGGTGTTACAGCTAGTCTTGATGCTGTTAATTTTGTTGCAACTTCTAATGCTTCTGGTGTTGCAACGAGTTCCACTAGTGCTGCTTCTGGTGTTGCAATGAATTCTACAACTATTGCTGGTAGTGTTGCCACAAGTTCTAATGCTTCCAGTGTTGCAATGAGTTCTACTTCTGTTAGTGTTGCAGCTGGTTTGAATGCTGATAGTGTTGCAGAAAGTTTTAATGCTTCCAGTGTTGCAATAAGTTCTACTGCTATTACCGTTACAGCTGGTTCGATAGCTAGTAGGGTCGTGGAAAATCCTACTGCTAGTAGTGTTGCTGGAAGTGTCTCGGCTAGTGTTTCGAGCTGTTCTGAAGCAAGTGAGAAATTTGTTCTCGAGAAAGTGGAGAGTGCTTCGGATAATACAAATGGTAGCATGGTGCAGGGCAATACTAATCTGCTTAGGGTAAAGTTGAAGAACAAAGCTTTACAGTTCACTCTAGGTCCTTGGTTGATATCACAGCAAAGGGAAGCTTATGGCAACTGGGGCGTCCGAAAATACCCCGAAGACATCAGCAAAACCTGAACTGGACTTGGTAGGCAATGATTCTCTGACCTTTAATATAGGGAAAGAGGCATATAGTCAGAGAAATGTAGATGTTACTATAGGATCACAATTACCTGAAGTTCCTGGGAACCTTGGATTATCTTTAGGTTTAGGGAAATATCTTTCAGCTACGGCTATTGAAAATAATGAGCAAGGTTTTCGTAATCAGAAAAAGGAAGAACCTGTTTCCTTGAATCTATCTTTAAGCAAAGCAGACTGCATTGCTGAACTGAGAAGTACTGAAGTCCAGCCTAATACTAAGGGTGCTAATATGCTCGCTGACAGAACAAACTGGGATTTGAATACGACAATGGATTCTTGGGAAGGTCCTGGTGGTGATGATGGTAAAAGTAAAATGACTAATATGGATGATGTAAAGTCGGTAATTTGCTCAGCTTGGATGGCTGCTACAAGTATGCCTGCACAGCAGAAAATACGTGAAGAAATTGAGCGCAGACCCAAAATTGAAATGTTATCGATACTATCTAGCCAGCAGTATAGATCTGAGGATTCACTTTGTTTGGGCCTCACTACTTCTTATCTTCATTTGAACCCCAATGAAATACTGTCAGATTCATCAGCTAAAGTTGCTTCGGGCAAAGTTGCTGCAAATAACAGTTCACCTGGGAAACCAGTACCTGCCTGCAAGTCTAACATGGTTAACTTCAAGCCTGTAAAATCAGAACCACATGATGAGAGCGCCAGGGGGGTGTCTGCTGGAATTGCCAAGCCTATGGTCTTGTCAAATATCAAACAGGTGAAGTCCCAAAAAAATGAAAAGTTGAGTTCAGAAACATTAAAATCTTCAGCTCTTAGTACCTTAAAGTCGGTTGATTCTATATCCGAAAACCTGAACCAGTGTGTGAGAGTAACAAGAAAACACCAGAGAGAATGAATGGGCAAATGAATCAATCAGACGAACAAATGCTAGCTAATGAAACTGAGCCCATTGATGATGACCAGGTTGCTTCTAAAATAATTTGTTCTGCAGGCCTTGATGTTAATGAATCGAACATTTCTGGTACACTAGATAACTCTACTTCCCATAGTACAAAGGTTGAAGAACCTGATCATTGCAGACTGAAGTCCATGGATGTACAATTGCCCGATTCACGGGGATCAGTTGAGGGTTCCATAAGTGATGAGGAAAAAATTAATTTATTAGGTGATGTCTTAGAGGAAGATTCATATGGTTCTGATTTTGAGTCGGATGACGAACAAGAGTTAGCTGCTGTTGTGGGTATAGATCATGACCGTAGAGAAGATGACGACTTTGAAGATGGTGAGGTCAGGGAACATGTGGAGAACACAGGGATAGAAGTTCCAATATGTGAGAAGAAAGAGACAGGAAATGGAAATAATGGGGATACTGCCTTCAAGGATTTTGTAGATCCATCTTCAACGTCATTTGGAGAAAAAGAAAATATAGGAGAAGACCCTGGATTAATAGGTAATGATAATACTAATGAAAGCATTGACACATCTGTCAACAAGGATTTGACTACCGAAGCTGATAAAGAGGTCTTTATGCAAGAACCTTCTGCTGTTGAGATGCCATCTAGTCAAGTTGACAAAAAGAGACCCATTAAAGCCTTACCAAGAAAATTGCCAGATGTATCCGGAAAGGATACTGTGGAAGGGAAAGAGGGAGAACAAACATCTATTCAAGCCTCTGATACAAGCCAGGGTACTTCAGCAACCATTGCTCAAGGTGCAGATGCTGACAGAAGCTCAGAAGGAAAAATCAATTCTATTTTTCCGAAGCTAGAAGCATGTTCAAATGTTGATGATGCAGGTAAAGATGCTGACAATGGAGGTAAGAGTCGAATTATAAACTTGTCTCGAGCGACTAATCTGTCATCTCCTGGTAGAACAAGATCTATTTCAGGCAGGGCATTGCAGTCACAAGTAGGAAGAGAGAGGCTGCCTGATGTTGCCCTGGAAGGAGATAAGTTGCATCCTCGAGGGAGGTGATTATATCATGTTTTATCATTGCTCTGCTTTATTTCAAGTTTATTTATTTCATTTGACGGGTTATAAATGTCTGTTATAATGTTTCTTTTTTCTGACAATGTTTACCCACAGAGATGAGCTTATGCCGACAGTTCACATAGATTCCCAAGGGAGAGACATCATGTTCATCCATCCAGAAATAACAGAATAAATTTTATGCGTGGAAGAGTAGGATTTCCAGTCGGATAGTCACCCTGTGCGGTGATCAGGATTCAGATTGTAACTTTGCAGGTCCTACAGAATTTCGTGTAGTGAGAAATAAATATGCATCTGCTGTTTCTGATGCAGATCTAAACTTTAGTAGCTATAATAACGGGCAAGACGTTGCATATTTTGGTACAGGAAGAGGTGGGAGAAAGATCTTGAATGATAATTCATCAATTTTCCCCAGTTACCCCCAAGGAGGGGGTCTCCTGGTGGAAGAGATGGACCTGCAGTACGTGGGCTTCAAATGGTTTGCAGAATTCCGAGAAATCTAGTCCAAGTCGATGCATTGGTGAAGATGGATCAGAAATAGTTGGATTGAGGCATATGAGAGGTTTTGCTGATGATGACATACAAACCCATGTTTGCACGCTGCCAACCTTCATTTGAGGGATTAGATGGTCCTTTTGTGAGGGGGAATAGGGAATTTACATCTATTCAGAGAAGGGGTCTTCAACGAACTTGTTCAAAGTCTCCTACCAGGCCACGATCTCGTTCTCCTGGTCCATGGTCTTCTCTTAGGAGGAGATCACCTGATGGATTTGGAGGGCCTTTGGAATTACCTCATCGAAGATCTCCACCAATTTACAGGATGGAGAGGATAAGGTCACCGATCGTCCTTGTTTTACTGGAGATATGGGTATTAGAAGGCATGAATCACCTTCATATTTGTCTCGACCATCTAAAGATTTGAGGGACATAGATCCTGATCAAGATCATGGTCATCCAAGGTCTGGCATGTCTAATAGGAGCCCATCTGGTAAAGTTTTACTTAGAAACAGAAGGTTGGATCTTGATCCTCGAGAAAGGAGTGACGGTGATGATTACTTCGGTGGGCCTATGCAATCTGGCAGGTTTCATGAGTTTGCAACTGATGGAATGCTGAGAGGAGGAGGTATGGTGGTAGGCGAGAACTGTTCGTCCTTTTAGACCTCCTTATAGTGTTGCTGATAGTGAGAATTTTCATTTCAATACTGAAAGTGGCCCTAGGTCATTTAGATTCTGTCCAGAAGATGATTCAGAGTTGCATGAAAGAGGAAATGTAAGGGAAAGAGACTTTGATAGACGGATCAAAAAGCGACCAGGGAATGCTCCTCCTCCTAGGAGGGCACGAAACATTGAGGAGCATGAAGGAAATTTCAGGCACGGTGGTCAAATTTGGCAAGGTGATGGATTCAAAGATATGTCACAAGTGAAGCGAAAACGATTTTGAGTAGGTTTCTTTATTGCCATTGGTCACTTTTAAGTGGTGCAAGTTATCGGAGCTGCAGGGCAGAATCTGTTTATTCCGTTTACTACATGTTTAGGGATTCTATGTGTAATGCTTGCCATTCTTCTCTATTTTCTGCATATGCTAGAATCCCTTGTTTTAGGGTGTAAAATAAAATTTGGCAGCAACAATAGAGGGATCACTCAGATGGAAATTGTTAGTGCAATGAAAGTAGACAGAACTTTGCATGAGGAACAAATCAAGACACTCATCTGGCATGTTTTGAATGACTCCAACCATCTGTTATCCCCAACTTGATCTTAGCCGGTTATTCCTTTGGGCAGACTTTTCTCTGGCAGAGAAAATGCTAGTGCTTGCGATTTTAAGATTGAAACGAAGTGATGGTATGATCAGTTTATCTATTACTACATGAATAAATTCTCTTTTGTGCATATGCTCATCACTTAAGTAGCAAAAAATGCCATGGTTCATGTGATCTGTAACTCCGGATTGGTAGTCTATGTTTTTAGATGTCATCCCTGTATAGTAACATAACAGGTAGGAGACATTCAAGGGGCAGTTGGATATTGCCATGAAATTTGAAAACATAATTTAAAAGAAATGAAGAGAGGCATAGCTGAAAATGCTGCATTTTACTGCAATAGCTGGCCTTTAGAGGTACTTGGACTCTTGTTTCTTCTCAAAAGGACCCAAGTTTTGTGAGCAGAGAATTATTGGATCTGGTCTGGATTTTACAGGTTATTTAAACTGTGCCATGTTTTTTTCTTGAAATATTTGTGTCTTGACATTCATATTTGATTCAACATTAGGACTTGGGCATGAGGATATATTATCTTTTGAAGGACTTCAAATACTTGGAGACTTAGAAAATGATATAACGGTGTTGGATGCATCTATATCTGCACCCGAAACTTACGAGTGCCGAGTAACGAGGTTGTTCCAGTAGAAGTTAATTCTGAAACTAGTACATTTTAAGTTACCCTTACCATGAGATATGGATAAGCTATAACACGAGGGAGGTTGTTCCAGTTGAAGGCTTTGGTATTGCTTCAAGTCAGTCATGGTTGCAATATCATATTTTGGGATTTGTTATCAAGTCTCATTTGGTATGCTGAAGGATAATTTGTTCAATGCCTGAATTTAACAGGGGTCTTAAATATTAATCTCAGACCTTAACTACCGATTATGGCAATAATTAAGTACAAAGAACATGATGCAGATTCTTCATGCAATTTGCCTAAAAAAATGCACCAATATAGTGCTCATAATTTGTTCTTGTTACAATATCAATGATAGTATTGATTGAAAATGTTTGGGGAATTTGTTCTTCGGATGCTGAAGAAAACAGGTGGGATGTTGATTGATGTGTTCCAGAGGGCACCATTCCTTGGATTTAACTAGGGGCTTTTCATTTTGTTTTCAGCAAGCTTCGGAAATTTAGCTTTGTTGAGGTTATGGTCCAAAATAAGGAAGGTATGCTTAGTCCTGGCAAATTTGTTCCAAACTTGATCTAATCAAAACTAGCTTAAATCAAAATCGAGTTGAAAATTTTATTTCTTTATCAAATGGTTATCGCTATAATTTTTTTGGGCTAGATTAATATAAAATTTAGGTCACAAATTTTAACATGCATTATAGAGTCAGTAGTGGGTCAAATCATTATAGAGTTGGAATTGGGACTGAATAATATTATTGACAAACAAAAAGACATTTTTTTATACTACTATGTCAATAATTTTACATATATTCAATTGGATTCATATTTAATCCAATCTGATACCCAAGTCTATAGGTTGACCTTAAAATAGGTCAATTTAATATTGGTTAAATTTGAAAATCAATTGATTTAATATTGAAGAATTGAAAAATAATCGATTTGATGATCACTCAAATTGAAAATTGATCTAACTTGATATTTGACTCGATTCGATTGCTATAGATTTAAGCTAAATTTAAATTAGATATGATCTAATCTGAATTAACTTAAATTGAATATAATTTAAAATCAGAATGATTCAACCCAAAATAATTTGATCCAAACTCGATTCAAACGATCCGTTTGTCATTAATAGGCAAGGTACGTTTTATGAAGTGTGAATATTTATTCTCTAGGCATAAGCTTATTTAGGATAATCTACTAAGACTTAAAAAAAAATTGTCCGTCTAGCTCAGTTGGTAAAGCACAAGGTTCTTAACCTTGTGGTCGTGGGATTGAGTCCCACTGAGGGTAATTCATAAAGGATGTCTTCTACGGAAGTTTTTCTCAACCTGACAGGGGCAGACTACTACCCTACCTCTCCTTACCCCATTACATATGGGAATAGGGTCAGCTATTTTACTAAGAGGCAAAAGAGCTACTTTTCCCTTATATATATATATATATATATATTTCCCCAAGTTATTTGATTTAAGCCTTGTGGAAGAGTGATCGAAGTTTTGTTGCGAGCAAATGAAAGAAGATTTTAAGGGTTAAAGTACAGTCAACAATCTATCTAATTGATTTAAAATTTTTTGAGTTATTTGAATTAACGAGTTTTATTTTATAGCATAAATTTGATTTGAATTTTTTCGAGTCAAATGGAGTTCATAAAATTTGAGTTGAGTCAAATATTTTGAGTTTCTTTTTAAATTTAATTATAAATATTTATAATATTATGACACTATTTGTTATATGTTTCTCCGATCTCTCTCACTAATGCATTAATTTGTTGTATGTCACTTACTAGAATGAAAGATATCTGCAGTTCATTTACTTACTGTACAATTCAAGTGGGAAGATGCAGCTGTACCAGTTTATAATCATCTTTGGAACTGTACCACTAATGTTGGCACAAGGACCGTCCTTCCATTCACTAAGACATATCAATCTTGCCTCTCTAATCCTTATTCTTGCTTACACCGCATTGGTGGTTGCTGGTTCAATACATATAGGTCAGAAATCCCAACTATTATCACATGCAAATGGGCCGATTACATGTTTACAGCACCTAACAAGGACTACTCAATACATGGATCTAAAGAAAACCGTATTTTGGTGTCATTAATGGTATTTCAATCATCGCCACCACATATGGCTGTGGGATTATCCCGGAAATACAAATACTACTATTACATTATTTGAATTCAAATAGACTAACTTTAAATAATCATTTTCACCCCAAACATATATTAAATTGGAATCATCATATATTATTAAAAAAATATAATATTAAAAAATACTCATAATGTTAGACTAAATAGTCATTTTAGCCCGTATTCTTTTTTTAAGAGCATTTTGGCTCCTAATGTTTGACGAAATAGTCAATTTTAGTCCTGATTTTATTATGGAGCATTTTAGCCCCATAACGTTTCAATTTAGAGAAAAATGCTCTATTTTGGAGCGTTGACCATTTGTTGATTAATGGTTTCCGTCTACGAAGAGACTTTTTTTCTTTAAAATGAAACACTAGGGGTTAAAATGTTTCAAAAAATAAAATAAGGTCCAAAATAACTATTTTAATCAAACATTAGAAAACATTATTTTTCAATATACCTAAAATTCGACTATCCACTTTTCTTTATTTGGGTAAACAGAGAATGTTTGGTGCAGGCAACTGTAGCTCCCCCAGTGAAGGGCAAGATGTTCAAAGGTGAGTAAGAATTTTTTTATTTTTGAAATATTAAACTCAAAAATTCATTTATTATATTAACTCAAATTTTAACCGATAATTAAGTTAAATTGATTTTGTTATAAGAGATTAAGTGTATTTAGGTGAGTAAGAATTCTTGGTGACAAGTTTTTGTTCCTCTACAAATATAGTGTGTATTAACTTTTAAAATTATGGAAAATTATTTTAGAGATGTAACTCTTTTGTGATCTTTGTAATTATCAGAGTCTATGTTGCAAAGATGAGAGTTGTAATGACGTAGGAGGACTAGGTTTATGAGTCTTCGAGATCATGTTCATGCGTGTCCAATACTAATACATACCCTCAATCATCTGACTAGGTTTTCGAGGCCATGGGTTTAAAGGACTGATATTTTAACCATTTGATGATTCAGCCCGTCAATCCACGTACTAAAGGATATCACAAACCACTCATTTTAACAAACGCGAGAGCATTATTTTTACTATATTTTCTTCATGTAATCGTTGCAGAACGAAGTACTTGAAAAATGGTTTGCAGACCCAAAGATGGATCAGTTCTCTGCACGTAGCGTGATGCCAAGATTGGTATTAAGATATGTGTCAGTGATAATAGCCATTGTATTTGCTGCAATGATCCCTTTCTTTGGTGATATCACGGCATTGTTTGGTGCATTTGGAATAATCCCTCTGGACTTCATTTTCCCATGGTTTTCTACAATCTCACTTTCAAGCCATCAAGAAAGGGCATACTGTTCTGGGGAAACACATTGATAGCAGTAGCATCCTCGGCTTTAGCTGCAATGGGAGCTGTAGCTTCGGTTAGGCAGATTATTCTTGATGCCAACACCTATAATTTGTTTGCTAACATGTAATGCTGGATAATCGACTAGCCACACAACCTGCGCTTATAGACACGGTTCAAATAGAAACAAAATCTAATGCCATTATTCCCAAAATGAATGTTGATGTTATTAATCATAAGAATAAATGAAATTATATGATTCCATGATACCCTCTTGAGTTTTAGAATTAGAGTAAGACCTTACTTAAATATTTAGATGAGTTTTGAGAGTGATTTTCGAACTCAAGGTAATTATTTTTGGATTTTGGTATTAACATTGTTTTTCTGTTATTAATACTATATGAAAACATAGTTGAAATTTAGGATTTATAAAACATGACACTAACATACACATAATTGTCAAAGATTCGATTTAAAATTGAAACTCACGTTTAATCACAAATTATGATTTAAACCTACACATACATCCAAGGATAAATCGAGAGATATTGGGTTGCATCGCATTCCTTGAAAATTTTAGATTTTTTATTTGTATTTTCTATTGGTAATATAATTTTGTACCACATGAAATTTTGTAATTTCACACCCTTAAATTTCTAATATAAGTTACTAAGTTCACATACCCTAATTTTTTTTAAATTTTCTTATATTTTAAATATTTTCTTTATATTTTTTATCGATAATCTAATTTCGCACTCCTAAAATTTTAATATATGTTTTTAAGTTCGCACCAGTATAAATTTTAAATTTCCATATATTTTAGATATTTATTTTTACATTTTTCATATATAATTTAATTTTGCACTCTTTAAAATTTTGTATTTTTGCAATATTAAATTTTTAATATAAATTTCTAAATTTATACGTCTTACATAAAACTTCACGTATGCTCTTGCATACATCATCAAAATAATATAAACACACAAACAAATATAAAATCGACTTCACTTACCTAAATTTAAGCTCTTGTAACGAATTCGAACAAATCGATCAATGACGAA